GGCCGGGGCCTGGCTCTGGGTGTGAATCGGGAGCGGCTGGAGCCGGGTGTGGGGCTCCCCGTGGGGCTGAGTGATCACAGCACCCGGAGGGGTTTGCTGCAGGTCACTGGCCTGGCTCTGGGAGAGACAGCCCAGGCTGGGGAGTGAAGGGGGCCCAGTGGTGCCACGGTCCCAGGCTGCACCCCGGGGATCCCCCCACAGCCCCAAACCCCCTAGTGACCCCGTAACTCCCAGCGACCTCCCCACCACCCCAACCACCATCCCCCCAGTGACCCCAGGTCTCCCAGTGACCCTCTTGCCACCCTGAACCCCCCACCAAACCACCACTACCCCCCACTGTAGCCCCATCCACTCTGTACCCCAGGGGCCCCCCAAAGCCCCTCATATTCCCCACCCCCCACACACTCCTGCATCCCTCCAGGCCATGGGGAGCGCCCCCGTCCTCCCCCACCCCACACCTATCCCCCGCCCCAACAGTTTCTCACGCGCTGGGTTTTTTTGGTAACATTTTCAGCTGTTTTTTTATATATAAACTATATTGCTCAATAGACTCTGTACAGCCCCCTGGAAACCCCCTTAACTCTGCCCTCCCCAGATTTCCCTGCAAACCCCCTTAACTCTGCCCCCCAGCGTCCTCGCCCGTCCGGGCTGTTTCAATCAGAATAAAGGTGCTTTGGGTCCATTCGTCTCCGTTGCTCCACCGGGGATGGGGTCACCGCTCGCTCCCCTGCCTCCCCACAGGCCCTCTGCTCGGGGAGGTGACAGGGGAGCCCCAGAGGAGATGGGGGTCAGGACTCCTGGGTTCCATCTGCCCCCCCCCAGGCTGGATTGGGGTGCCCCCTTCAGCCTGGGCCTGCTGCACTGTGGGGAGCAGGGACCCCCCAGGGGTGTGTGGGAGGGGCTAGGTGAGCTGGGGGGGTGGGGAGGGAATTAAGCATTGGGGGCTCTGGGAGGAAGGGGGGTGTCATGGGGGGAGGGGTGGGTGGAAGGGCCCCGTGGGGGGGTCTCCTCGTGACACCCCGGCTCCCCCTGGTGGCGCCCGGCAGTGCTGCGGTCTCGCTCGCTCTCTCTCCCTCTCGCGTCTGTCTGTCTATCCGTCCGCCTCAGCCCCGCCGCGGCCGCAGCTTCATCTCGGTGAAGGGGATGGAGAACTCGAAGCCTTTCCAGTTAAACCAGTTCACGCCCTGGGGGGGGGAAGAAATGGGGGGTGAGAGGCCCCCCCCAGCAACTTCTGTAATAGTGCTAGGCGCAATCCGTGACTCAGTTTCCCCACTCCCTTGGACTGGCTGGATGGGAAGGAGTTAATTTCCTCCCCGGGGATGGGCCAACCCAGGGGTCCTGGCTCACAGTCCCCACCCCTGCTCTCCCCACCAGCGCCCCCTGCCCCCAGACCCGGGAGAGAACCCAGGCGTCCGGGCGGGCCGTACCTGGTGGTCCCGGCGGCTGCCGTAGAGCCCGTTGAGGTTGGCGTAGTGGCAGTTGTGGTACCACCAGGCCCCGCGGTAGGACACCGCGCAAGGGATCAGCAGCCGGTTCGGGTCCCGGTCCCGGGTCGAGAAGACGCTGCCCGAGTGGTAGCTCAGCGCGTCGCCTGGGGGGAACAGGGGGTTAGGGGGACATGGGGGGGACAGCACCCCTCCCTCATCCCCCCCAGGACACAGACACCCCATCCACTGACCCCACAAACATAGCAACCCCCCACTGTGCCCCCAGACCCCACCAATCCCCCTGGACATGGACCCCCCCACCCACTGACCCCCTGACATAGCAGCCCCCCGCTGTCCCCCATCCATCCCCCTGTGGCCCCCACAGCCCCTCATCCTCTGCCCCCCGGCCAGCACCCCCATCTCCACCCCCACCTCCCTTTCGCTCTCCGTCTGCCCCCAGTGGCTCCCTCCCTGCCCC